ATACGTCTGTACACCCACATCTCAAACGCTTCCAGTTTGTTAGACATGGCTTCTGTCAGCGTCCAAGCTTCTACACCATAGAGAAGTACAGAAAAGACATAGCACCGCGCTATGCGTGTTCGAAGAGAAATACTTAGGTTCCGGTCACAAAGAACTTTCTTCATTCTCGAAAAGGTGTTGCGTGCCTGCTCTATTCTGCATCGTATTTCGAGGCTGTGATCTCCTGTTTCGTCAACCATTGTGCCTAGATATTTGAATTTGGTCAGTCGGTTCTTACTTTATATTAAAAATGTTGTAATTTATTCTACTGAGTTGTCCAAAAAAAAGAAGTAGTATGTCCTTTACACAAGTAGGTACGATAAAATCTCCATCCCTATTTTTCCACACTTATGGGTAGATACTTCTTTAAATTTATTAGAAATTACTCTAACAAGAGAAGAATCGTTTAAATTATTTCAATTGTTTCCGAGAAATAGATGGACATATATAAAAAAAAAACTATTCGCGCCGAATCTAGAACTTTCTAGTTTATGAACTCAGTTTATAATATATTACACGTGAATTTCTTTACGTACTATAGGTACGCAAATGAGCCAGAAACAAAACCATAATACATAATAACATGCTACCATTAAAATGAGAATGTTATTAAATTATAATCATATACATTTCGATTATAATGAGATCGATGTGTAACAAGGAACCAAAGAAACGTTCTTACCACAATGACAATAATCGAGGCTCTGCGAATGTTTTACATAACTTTTCAGGTTAATGGAAGTTTCTCTCAATAGTAAATAGATGTGCAAGAAACTAGATCAAAGCATTAATTGAACTAATTTAAGCCTTCGCAATCTTTTTGGAAAACAATACGTATAATATATTTTAACTAGTTACTAGAGCTATTTAATATGTACATTTTTATCTAACATTAAAACCGAACAAAACATTTCAATTCTGTGTTAATAAAAAGCTATGAAATCATTCATGATCATTTGCGATTTCGTTGATTGGGTAGAAAGATTGAGGGTGACTGGTGATTTATTATGCCTCGTGCAATGTTTTACCTAAAACACATTTAGGTAGGCTCATTTTCATAATTATATTCAACACAGTATTTTTTACTAGAGCTCATTATGCGAAAAATGTATCAAAATTTTATGAAACATTTATTGCTTTTTGATGTGAATCGCGAAAAGTGAGGTAGGCAACGACTTTAAAGGATAAACATTAGTAGTAGTAGTATATACTTTATTGTACACCACACATATACAACGAATAAATACATTACAGAGAAAACTTAATATATACGTATGTACAATAAGGCGGTCTTATCGCTAAAGAGCGATCTCTTCCAGACAACCTTTGGGCTAAGGAGAAACTGGAATTAAGAACAGTGGTGCGTTTTATGTTACACATACATTCTAATATCTAAATAAACTAAACTATATTTATTAAAATACCACAATAATACATAAAAAAATAATAATAAAATAAACATAAATATTAATAAATAGGTATATATATATATATATATATATATATATATATATATATATATATATAAATATATACGCATACATATATATACATAGATAATAAATAAATAAATACAAAACAAAGAGGAAAAAAAACACAGAATAACTATCTTTTTGCTAGAAATGGTTATCAATAACCACAAAGTGTTAGGTAATGCTTCTTGACGTCATTTTTGAAACTTTATTACATTATTGAAGTACATAGAGTGATCATTTAATACAATTTATGCCTTGGATATCTACCTGTATATATCTGTCCACAAAAGACGATATGACTGTCACCTGTCATTGAATGAGAGACCATCCATATCCACAGGGTACTATTGTATATAACAAAGAATCAATTTACGACCAAATTGCAGTGTCTTTTTCGAACCCAAGACTAAATTTACCTGCTCCGTTCCAGAGACGTCACTGTTTACTATACTTCGTTTGGTGTGATTTTTTTCTGTCGCTCTCGTAAATTTCTTGGAATTACCACAAGTTAGTGAGAGTCGCCAGTATAGCGTAAAAGAATTTGTTAGAGTACATTAAACACATAGACGTGGCAACAAATATTTTAACGAGTTTTAGTTAATCTACAATTGACACTTGTAAAAGATCATTAGCTCTAATTAATTTATCAGAGAAAATTGTACTAAAATACAATAACGACCTAACTTGTTAAATTGTTTCGTCGAATCGAACAATTTTTAGTGCTCAATTTATCGCAAGTCGTTAACTTTGTTCTGTACAATACCTGATTTTTTTAAATAGTATAAGGGTGACAAACTAGCACACAGTCCACCTGATAGTAAGTGGTTACTGTCCAGACATCTAAATTTATCCTCGATTAAAAAACAAAACGCATTGTCATCCCCGAGGACTGAGATGGAATTTCTTATTTCCAGTGAAAAGGGTCTCTGGTTCTCTACACTCACCATACGAAACAATGGATTACGCTGCTTTTTATTGCGCTGGTATTCTGTGAGACAAACATCTACACTTATACTGTATTAGGAGCACAATTTCATATGCAGATGCGTTGTCACCCTTTTGCGAACTAAGCTGCTATTTTACGCAGGTATTCTGTGAGAGCAAAGTCCTTCCATGGTCGATCCGACCTATATGTGCAACAATCATAATATAGCTGCAGCATGACTCGGCTCTCCCACGTACAAAATGATTTTTAAATTAAAATCATTAGCCGAAGTTAAAATTTTATGTAGCTTCTCACACTTCTTAAGTCACGCCTACTTTCTTTGTAACGCCCTAATAAACATCAGGATTAAATATTTCTGGGCTCAGTTTTGTCTTAGTTTTTTTTTTAAATCTATGCGTGTAAAATGAACACTTATCAAAAATCCTGTTTAATTAAAAAAAGTGAAAAACTATTGAAATGAAGAAAACTTTTTTGTGTTACCATAAAAAATTTCGAAACTTATAAGATATGTATATTTATAAAAGCAATTTTTTTGCGCCATTTAAATGGTTTTATCATTAATTTATGCAACTTGAATCTGCAAGAAAAAATACGTCGATGTGAAAGTATGCTTACGACGTCGATCAGGTTGTTATTTGCAAAAAGCGACCGAGTCCGATAATTGAAACTACAGCTGGCAATAATCGCATTGCTGAAAACTAGTACGATATGGAAATAACTAAAAAATATTACCTTTAGGTGTTAACGGGTTGCGCCTGTACTCGATAAAAGAAATCCTTCACAAAATACTTTTTTCACACTGGTTTATCGCACTGTCGTTCACAAAAAAAAAAATGTTTTCACCTCAGCACTGATATCGAAGACATATTTTTAAAAAAGTTGTGTTCGAATCGACGAAGCTGCGCGGGCGTCGGTACGGCGTACAGCAGTCGCGGTAAAATGCGCAGTGTTCAGCGCCGGGGCCAGTACTCGCCCCACTCCATTCGAATCGACTGCTGTTGTAACAGTCTCAGATAAGGACCACCTCCACTTGTCGCACATCCCGACATGAGGGCCTAATCCTTTATTCGATAGGATACGAACCGTGTACTCGTTTTTTTAAGCATCACTCTTAGACCTCACGAACTTTGGATGTATCAGATGCGGGACGATACGAGGCGAATTACTGTTACGAGCATACACGTAGAATACTCATAAATTTTATTTCACATTGTTCGTATTTGTCTCGCTACAAAGTAATTGATTTGTGCACCTGCGCGTACATAAAATCTTTTTATAGATATTATAAAGGTCACAAAAATAACCTAGCGTAGATTTGTAAACTTGAAAAAAGAGGATAGATTCCCTCAGCACAGCTGACACGTGTGGAGCCTGTTTGATAGAAACTCGATATTCTTTTGTTGAAATATCCTTTTTTTTTTAAACGCCGTGGGTGGCAACGTGTTGCCTGTAACGAACGACCATCGTAAATAATGTTTGGTGAAATGTTTTTATATTGCTAGCTAATAAACTAGTAAATAATACTAAACACGCTCGTTTTGTTTTAAATTTCAGTTTAATTTTTTAAATTTTTCATTTCGGTATATTTTTTAACGTAGTTAAGCTACGTGCATCAATATTATGGTTGTAGCACGAATAGGTCGGCTCGACCGGGGAAGGATAAAGCTCTCACAGAACAGAGTTCTATCTTAGTCCTCGGGAGTGACAACGCATTTTGATCCTTAATCGAGGATTTAGTAGATGTCTATGGGTTACAGCATCCACTTACCATCAGGTTGACTATGTGCTCGTCACCGTTATTCTATAAAAAAATATCTTCAAAAATAACTGCAAAAATATACTCGTAATGAATAAATTTCCGTAGAGAATATTTTCATATTTATATTTGCTCATATCCGAACAGTAACATAACGAAACGGTGCTGGGCACAAAATTCTCCATAACCCTTTCAAAAATGAAAGGAGGCCTGTGGCAATAAGTTAAACATCTGCAGCTAGTTAGCTGCAGATGTTTAACTAAGGAATAGAAAAAAATATATTACTATTATTTTGTGGAAAAATGTTTCGAAGAATAAAAATCCAGATATACGAATGTTTGTAGTTGTTAGAAGCACTAAGCTCTAAGGTGTTAACGAGTATGTTTACCTGAGACAAATAGTCCGACTAGGTAAGTCCAACTTCGAGCAAGAGGTCAATTGCCGGATTCAACTCGGCTCGGCAGCGTCCAGGCAAATTACGACACACCTTCTCGTCAGGTATACTCCAAAATTTGAAAACGAGATTGTACACCCAGTGCGTGCTACCAGTATGACTTACGGATCTGAGACGTGGTCCTTCACTGCTGCCCGTATGCAGAATCTCAAGCTCGCTCGAAACCAAAAATCATAAAGAAAAAACATGTTGTTAATGAATTTGATTTGGGAGCTATTAAAAGAAAAGTTTTACGAAGTTGAAAAAAAGTACCAAGTGTTCCCAACTTACTGGCAAGTTTGAGAAAAGATGGCATTTTAAATTGTGGACGAAAATATCTTAAAAAACATTTTGGATCAATTGTTTTTGGAGTTCACGGCGGAAAAATGGCGGAAATGTGACGACCATGTCCAAAAAAATGAAAACGATTACTGTGATCGTGATATGAAGTTCGATGCTGTCATCGATAGTATAATAATGAATTTGCAAGACGACTCTGACACAAGTTCTATTGATGAAAATGAAAACGAAGATGACCTGGATGAAGTAGAATCTTTGTCAGAGTAGTTTTATTTTCCTTCACAAATAGTCATTTTAGTATTTGTTTGTCTTTTTAATTATTTTATACCAATTTTAGTTCAATTGATGGAATCAGGCGTTACTTTGCGGAAATCCATTATAATAAAGATATTGTGTAAGTGAGTTCTTAGCGGTCAGCCGCCGTAGAGTCTACATCACCTGAAGATACCTCGTGTAGAGGCGAAACACGTGTCGTATTATCGTCGATGGTGTGTCTTTCCTAGAATAGTGGTGTTGAGAGTAGTGGTGTTGGAAGTAGTGGTGTTGGGAGTAGTAGTGCTGGGATTAGTGGTGATGGGATTAGTGCACGCAATTGAGGGAGGGCGGGAGGTACTTTCCAAACTAGTTAATACACATCAGTTTATTTAATTGAGCGGATGGTTGCAAAGTAACTATTAAACCTATCTTTAATTTTAATACAAATTTATTTAATTCTTGCTCTCTTTTTAAAGTAAATCAAAATATATTTTTCTATAAAACAATAATACAAATTAAAAACTTATTTCACGTACATGTACGTTAGTATAGTACCAATAACCATAATACAATATCACGAAGCACTATCTTAAGATCTGTCCTGTAGTATTGATCTCGTGTGAACTCGTGCTTTATCTTCCCCTCCCCACACGTCTGTCGCCCCCTAAGTAGCGGTACAGCACCAGCGGTCAAGCTATAGTAAGCTGAAGTGGCAAAGGGCCGGCCATATATATAGCTCGAAGAACCGGCAATCGATAGGGGAAACAGATTCTCGGGTGGCAGCCTCGTACCGGTAGATGATGTATAGGATGACCTCCCACTCCCACTTGGTCCGTTACGCAGGGGAAGTTGAAGGCCGTCGAGAAAGGCGCATCTTTTGTTCCTGTTGTAATTTTCCTGAAAGGATAATGCGAAGAAGTCCTCCCCCGAGGAAGGGCTGCCATGGGGCGACCGGATGCGGCTGGGCCGCGGATATATGCCAAAGCGTTCCCGTGGCCCCATTAATACGCGGAGAAAGTGGAACACCATGGGGTTTTAGTCCCCCGACATAACCTGTCCTTGCCCCCGTGGTGGGTATACGTAGGCATTCCGCACGTGAAAAAATGGGGGATCCCCTACTAGATTGAGTGACGACCTGGTAAGTTATACAGGATGTAGGTGGCTCAGGATGATGTTTTGTGGCACTTCTTGAGAGAGGCCTATGTTCGGCAGTGGACTTACGAAGGGCTGTAATAATGATGATGATACGTGTGTTTAGATACATCCAATTTCAAATAGCAATTTTTTTCCTTAATATAAATTTAATTGTTTCTACATACACTTTTCAGTTGTGAAACGAGGCCAAAATAACAAAAACATAGCATTACTTGAATTGTAAATAAAATCCGCTCTATTATTAAAATTTAAAATCATGCATTTTGTAACGATTGGCGTGATGCGAATGAAAGCGCGCATATTAGAAGGTCGTTAAATAAGGCATAAAAAAGCGCTACGTCATAACGGTTTAATAGATACCTTCGAATTATCGATTATAAAACGCGAATAGGCTTGTTCTTTGGTAATAAGGCTTTGTCACCCTACAAAACCAAAACTAGGAGGAGGACAGAGACAAAAACAAAAATTCGTACTAATCTATAATTGAGAACTCTTCGAAAAATCAACTTAAAAAAAGAGCTAATGATCTTAATTAGGTACTATTTTGTCAACTGTCAAAATGGCGTCGAAAAAGTAGCGCCTTTTTGACCTTTTAATATTTGATTGACCGATGCAGAGATATAGTATCATAGAGCCATCTATGCAAAAACGGGTGTAATTTTTGAGTTGTAAAAAAGTGACCATATTAGTGGTATAATGCTGAAGTGAGAATTCGCTCTTTGTCGTAAAACACACCGTTATAAATAAACTTGTAATTTTTTATTGCCATTCCTAATAAAACTTGACCTTACTACTTGCTAAAATTGCTTGGATACAAGTGTCGTGATCGTACCTCTTGTTGGGAGTTATGTAAAATGTAGACAACATAATGACTGAATTACATCCAACATTTGGCACGCGGGGTCGCTACTCCCACATTGGATACATGACATTTTTGCCCGTGTTGTTAAATTCAAGTCTAAATCACCTCAAAGGATGTACGTATTTGTATGTGACAAATGAAGAAACGTATAATACGGCCGACACAGGCGAGGAAAAACTCATTACTTAAAAATTATGGTAATCGTTCAATGTCACTTTAAATTTTTCTCTATATAACGTAGTGATAAAGTTTTAAGAATAGATTACAGTTGTACAATAATATTTTTCTTATATTTCTTTTCAAATCCGTCTATTGGTGAGTGAATGCTGTGGATCATACACATACATCTATCATCAGCAGATTTTTCATCATCAAATCAAAACGGAATATCTGTCACTAGTACGGTTCTATACTTATCATACTAAAGACAGCAGTATTAAGCTGCCACTTTATTGGAATAAGGGTGACATACAAGTAAACAATCCACCTGATAGATGGATACTATGACCCACATACATCTAGATCTATCGTCAGTTACTCGTAAGTATCAAATGCAGATGCGTTGTTACTCCTGAGAACTAAGATGGAATGCCTCGTTTCAGCAATATAGGTTTCCGATTCTCAACACTCACCATACGAAACACAGTAGCATCAAGCTGCTTTTTCGCGCGGGTGTTTCGTGAGAGCGTGTTTTTCCCCGGTCGAGCCGAACCATTCGTGCTACAACTGTAATATAGCTACAGCATGACTCTACCACGTATAAAATTTACAATGGTAATTTTTTTATTGGAAATATTCTGAAATGGTACTTTGTGATAGCGAATCACTTTTCCAGTTGACCGACACATTCCTTATCAAGCTATAACTCTACAGGCAGACATTTTTGAGATCTAAAATAAATTACTTGTTTTTGTAAAATTAAAAAGACAATTTGCTCTTAATTTAAACGAACAAAGTCTAGAATTAAGCAAGTCTTCAATCTTAACTAATTTAACCAAAACAAAATTTTGTTTTAACATTTATAAAAATATATTGTAGTGTAAAACGAATATTACCTATTTCATTATTCGACAGTAATTATATGGTTCTTGTTAAATCGATTATGCCAAAGGCTTTTAACTATTTGGGACGGCTCTACCGGGGTAGGACCACGCTCTCACAGAATACCAGAGTAAAATAGCAGCTTAATGCTGCTGTGTTTCATATGGTGAGTGTAGATAACCGGAGAGCCTTTTAATTGGAAATGAGGCATTTCATCTTAGTCCTCAGAGGTGACAACGCTTCTGTATTCTGATTCTTAATCAAGGATATATGTAAATTTCTATGGGCCACAGCATCCACTTACCATTAGGTGGACCGTGTGCTCGTTTATCTAAATAAAAAAGAGTGTTGTCATCGGATATGTTGCTTAGTGTCATCAACAGCTTTAATCATCCTTTTTCTTCTTCAATTGAATTCCAACATTTTAAAAGTACTATATAAACTGTTCTTGTCTCTAATCTAAACGATCGTAAACTTGTTCTAGTCATTCGGGCAGAGATAAGCAAAGTATACACCTTCCGCCTAAAAGAATTATCATGCTTTGGATGTATTACGTGAACAGATAAGTAAAGAGTAGAAATTCGAGACAATGCTTGGTGCTTACTTAAAGTATTTTATGTGTGATTTAGAAGTTATTACTCATCTTCACCAGCCCGTGTAAGTCTTCTGTTGTAACTTGAACTACTGCTGTCTATAAGAAGCCATAGGATTTTTATAGCATATCCCATAGTTCCCTCGTACGACACCCACGTAAAACAAGGGTGATATTCTTTTAGGCTCTCACCACGCGGCAAGTTTATTTTTGTATAAATTATTATAGGCTTTGATACGTCCGTTAGTAATCGTGTAACTTTATGTTATATTTATCCAGCTGTATTTCATAATTATTCTAAATATGGAATATGAATTCCTTTTAAAATTATCTTATGAATTTGGTATGAAAAAATTTTACTAGACGAAACTTTTCGTAGGAAATGTTAAATTATTTTGTAGTGTACCTTGGACATGATCTTTGTGGCCATTTATTTTCTCAAGTGAGGAAAAAATAAGCGATTTGAGCGAAGCTCTTGTCCTAAATGGATGTCACCCGTTGTAACGTCATCATTAACTTTTAGTTTTTGGATTTTATTGTTACATAGGTTTGTCGTTTGATGATTACTCAGTAACATTCAGAGTACTAAAGCATAAAAAGGGAGCAAATATAGTATTGTATTTTTTTAATAGGAAAGGGGGCAAAAGAGCATGCGGCTCTCGCTTAGGGCTCTCCTGATGCTAGGTGTCGACGTGTACGCTGCCGCCCGTGAACGACTGCAACACTAAAGCACCACTACACGCGCACCCACCTGATGGGCGACCACTCCCACGTGAACTTCTACGCTCACCGCCCGGCGCGGGAACCGCCGGGGACAAGTGAGTCTTCCCGACACCTGACTTGATAGCGCTTAGCGAGCAACATCCCAACCAACAAGCTGCCATCATCCAAGACCGGGGGAGCCATGTCCCCGCGCGATGACGCCCAGGTTGAGAGGGATGCCTTGGTACCTGCAGGCCCTCCTGTCCCCAGAAGGGGGACAAAAAGGAGAAGAACTACTACCTGCAGCACCAGAGTACACACATACATCAAATATTGATGTATAATACATACAAAATATTGATGTATAATAAATTACCAAAAAGTTTAACCAGCCTACATTATAGCAAATTTAAACGGACACTTAAGTATTTTTTTGAGAACAACCCATTTTACAAATTAAGCGAATACATGTCAATGCAACTCATGGAATCGTCATTCTTGTATAACGTGCAAACAAAATAAATTACCTAATTCTATGACGTAAAGCGTTAATGTAACTAAATTAGACAAATAGTACAATAACATAATTTAACCTTATAAATTTATTAAAACTTTTGTAGCCAATGACTTGCCTGTAACGATTGTTATATTAAGGTCAAT